ATTCAGGGAGTGAATAGGGCTGGAGTTTCATGGAGTGATGAGTTTGGGATAACCTAGCATTAAGAGACAGGGTTGGCTGTGGGAACTGCCCCACATAACAACACAGGCTTGGGTAAAGGATGACTGGGGTCATCAGCCCAATCCGAGATTCATCCCACAATCCTGTAGGTTTTTGGAGGTCCAATGATATAGGATCCCCTGCCCATTTTCCCCAACCCCTGTTGGGAACATGGAAACTTACATGGGAACACAGTTACTTCTGCTCCAGGACCAAAATTTTCCCATTGAACTCACTGTGCCACAGGAAAGAACCTAAACCTTCATCCTTGGGAAGGACAGGGGCACATGAGGTGGTAGGAAATGATTTGGAGGATAACAGCAGGATCTAGGAAGTGAGTGGCAGGGACACCTGTTGGCAGGCTCATGGGAACTCACCAAGTTCATGAAGCCCCAATAAAGTGGGAGTCTTTAGGAGGTAGCATGATATAATAGCATAGCCTTAGAGTCAGGAGACCTGGGTTTAACTCTGACTCCAGCATGAACTGACTGTATGACCATGGACAAGTCATTTCACTCTTCAATGTCCCAGGAGACTCTCTAAGAGCAGTTTTTGATCTGCCTCAGTGAAGAGACTTTCCTCACTCAGAATTCCCTATGTCAACAAAATCATAGGACTCATTAAAAAAAGGGATGAGTCCAATATTGGGTTCTGGCCAACGGCAGGTCTAAGCAGGCTCAGAAATCCTTCTGGCATCTCTTCCTTGATAGGATCCCAGGATGGCCAGACTTTGGGGACATTTGGGCTTTGCTAAACTTCAGAATGACTATTGAGACAACTCCTGGGTGACTACACATTTTTCCTTTCCCAGTCTAACCATGAAAGACTGAGTTAAAGAGATAATCGGGGAGCACCTAGAAAAGGAAATAGTAATTACAAAAAGCCAGCACAGCTTCCTTTAGATCAGGTCCTGCCAGGTTGACCTCATGGACTTTTTATTAACACTGTTACTAAACTGGTAGATGAGGTGGATGCTGTTGATATAGTTTACCTACATCATTTATTTATTTATTTTTAATTTTCAACATTCACTTTCACAAGATTTTGAGTTCCAAATTTTCTCCCCCACCTCTCTGCTCCCCCTACCCCAAGATGGCATGCATGCTGAATACCCCTTCCCCTGATGTGCCCTGCCTTCTATCACTCCCTCCTTCTCTTATCCCTTTCCTCTTCTATTTTCCTGTAGGGCAGGATAGATTTCTATATCCCATTGTCTGTATATCTTATTTCCCAGTGGCATGTAAAAACAATTTTTAACATTTGTTTTTAAAACTTTGGGTTCCAAATTTTCTCCCTTCCTCCCTGCCCACCCACCCTCATTGAGAAGGCAAGAAACTTGATACACGTTGTACATGTGTAGTCAAGCAAAACACTTCCATAATAGCCATGTTGTGAAAAACTGTATTTCCTTTCATCCTATCCCACCCCCCATTTATTGTATTCTCTCCTTTGACCCTGTCCCTCCTCAAAAGTGTTTGCTTCTAATTACCTCCTCCCTCAATCTGCCGTCCCTTCTATCACCCCCATTCTTATCCCCTTCCCTCCTATTTTCCTGTAGGATAAGATAGATTTCCAATTGAGTATGCACATTATTCCCTCCTTAAGCCAAATCCAATGAAAATAAGATTCACGCATTCCCTCTCACCTCCCCCCTTTTCCCCTCCCCTGTAAAAGCTTTTTCTTCCCTCTTTTATGTGAGATATTTTACTCCATTCTACCTCTCTCTTTCTCCTTCTCCCCTACAATCCTCTCCCACATCTTAATTTTATTTTTTAGATATTATCCCTTCATATTCAACTTACCCTGTACCCTCTATCTATATATGTTCCCTCCAACTACCCTAATATTGGGAAAGGTCTCATGAGTTACAAATATCATCTTACCATGTAAGCATGTAAACAGTTCAACCTTAATAAGTCCCTTATGGGGGGGCGGAGCCAAGATGGTGGAGTAAAAGCAGTGACTTGCTTGAGCTCTCCCCCAAACCTCTGCAAATACCTATAAAAAAATGGCTCTAAACAAATTCTAAAGCAGCAGAATCCACAGAAAGACAGAGTGAAACAAATTTACAGCCCAAGACAGCCTGGATGGTTGATCAGAAAGGTATATCACGCCAGGCTGGGAGAGGAACGCAGTTCAGCGTGGGCACACAGGTCTCAGCAAACCTAAATTTCAATTTCTATTTTACCTTCTGGTTCTAAAATACCAGGGCAGTTTTCCTTGATAATTTCTTGAAAGATGATGTCTAGGGCAAGCTTGGGGAGTGGGGTTGGGACCGCGTGCTTCTTTCTCACCACAGAAACAGACTTTCCCCACTGACCTTCTAAGTTGTCTTTGGTGTTCATGGGTTAAGAAGTCTGGAAACTGCCATAGCTGCCCATGACTCAGTCATCTGAGGCCTGCTCCAGGATTGCTGTGGCCTGTGCACCCATGCCAAACTGTGCTCTTCTCCCCACCTGGCACGATGTACCTTTCTGATCAGCCACCCAGGCTGTCTTTGGTTGGAAACTTGTTTCACTCTGTCTTTTTGTGGGTTCTGTTGCTTTAGAATTTCTTTAGGGCCATTTTTTTACAGCTATTTGGAGGGGTTTGGGGGAGAGCTCAAGCAAGTCACTGCTTTTACTTTGCCATCTTAGATTCACCCTTCCATTCTAAATTTTAAGGAAGTATTTTCTTCAGTGAGATTTTGGACTTCCTTTTTCATTTGGCCAATTCTGCTTTTGAAGGCATTCTTCTCCTCATTGGCTTTCTGGACCTCTTTTGGCATTTGGCTTTGTCTATTTTTTAAGGTGTTATTTTCTTCAGTATTTTTTTGGGTCTCCATTAGCAAGCTGTTGACTTGTTTTTCATGATTTTCTTGCATCAGTCTCATTTCTCTTCCAAAAACTTCCTCTACTTCTCTTATTTGCTCCTCGAAATCCTTTTTGAGCTCTTCCATAGCCTGGGACTGATTCATATTTTTCCTGGAGGCTTTGGATGTAGGAGCTTTGACTTTGTTGTCTTCTTCTGGTTGCATATTTTGATTTCTTCTTTGTCACTAAAGTAAGATTCTGTGGTCTGACTTTTTTTTTTACACTGTTGGCTTATGTTCCCAGCCAATTACTTTACTATTAAGCTCTTTGTTAAGGTAAAAGTCTGCTTCCAGTGTGGAGAATGTACTGTCCCAAGCTTCAGGGGTTTTCTGCAGCTGTTTTCAGAGATGTTTCTAGGGACCTGTAAATTTTCTGTTCTTCCAAGTTAGTATGATCAAGGGCAAGGTGTTTATTCCTTTCCTGGCCTATGCTCTGGTCTATGAGTGACCACAAGGACTCTTCTCTGCCTTGGAATTGTGAGGAGGATTCCCCCTCCCCACTGCTACAAGCTCCACCAAGCCAGTGCTCCTCCTCACCACGGGACCACCACCCGGGACTGTGACCTAGATTCAAGCATGGGCCAAGCAGGAGAATCCTGCCTTAGCACCAGCAAATAGATCCCTGCAATCCCCTTTTGATCAGCTGCTTGATCCCCCCTCAGTCTGTGGGTTGAGAGCCCTGGAAGCAGCCACCCCCCCAGGGCTTCTCTAGGGCCTCTCACCGAGGTCCAACAGACCTTTCCTATTGACCTTCTAAGTTGTCTTTGGTGTTAGTGAATTGAGAAGTCTGGAAACCACCGCAGCTTCCCTTGATTCAGTCCCCTGAGGCCTGCTCCAGGTTTGCCGAGGCCCGGCCTTTGCCTGCACAGCCCACACTATGCTCCTCTCCCAGCCCAGCACAACAGCCCTTTCCAATCAACCATTTAGGTTATCTTGGGCTAGAAATTTGTTTTACTCTGCCTTTTTATGGGTTCTGCTGCTCTAGAATTTGTTTAGAGCCATTTTTACAGGTATTTGGAGGAGTTTGGGGGAGAGCTCAAGCAAGTAACTGCTTTTACTCCATCATCTTGGCTTCCATTTACCTACATTTTAGCAAGGCTTTTGATAAATGATACTATTCTTGTGGGGAAGATAAAATGATGCAGACTATATGATAAGAGAGTTAGATGGATTCAGAGCTAGCTGGATGGTTGGACTCATAGGAGTCATTAATTGTTTAATGTCAATGTGGCAGTAGATTTCCACTGGAGGGCCCTGGGGATCTCTGCTGTTTTTTTATGCTATTTAATATTTTCATTAATTATTTGTGTAATAAGAAACTGAAACATTGACAAATGCATTGGTGTACTCCACTGAAGGAAATCCCCACGTGGAGGAGACCAGGAATGCTGGTTCCAGAAAGTACCTTGGAAAGAGTATCGAGCATGCATAGACATTCTATAATTGCTTCTGACCTGCTAATAATGTGGCTAGGAGGAGCCTTTATCCACTGCTTTTGTAGACGGAACTGGGGGCATCTTCAAGAAGGCTGTCACCTTTGGCCTAATATCTTTGCTTCCTTCTCTTCAACTGCTGTCTTAAGGGATCTCATTGACTTGGTTCACAGTGTCTGATGAGACACAAAGTTGTAAGGGGAGGGTTTTTGAGGACTTCTCCCCTTTGAGGCCATGTGACCCTCACCTTGGTCCTTGGCCTCTGTGCTTTTCCTTTTTTCATTTTAGGTAGAGGAATAGAACTTCCTATCATGTGAGTTTCAATAGGTCCAGAGAATTCTTCAGCATACTGGTGTTCCAGAGTCTGGGTTTTGCAGCTATATCCTGAGGTACAAAGAGGGATCTTTGGAAGTGATCTTCTTGTACCAGGCCAGTGAGAGCTGACACAAGAATTCATCTGTCAGCCAGGCTGCATGAACTTGGTGAGACCGATATTATGTAGGAATTGGACAAAAAGTGCACTCCTGAGGTGTTGGGAGGAAATGTTTGTATGTTTGTTCATACTGTATCTTCACTGAAAATATCCCTACATAAAAGTTCATTAACGTTAAGTGCTAAATAACAGTTTATTGGCACCTAAAATTAGGGAGGAGGGAGATACAACCAATAGAGCCTTAGGTCAATGGCAGTACACACACACACACACCAGACACCAGACAAAAATCCTTACAGTGCCCTGGAACCCAGAACGGGAGGTGTAGCCTGCTGGGTGCTCAGGGAATGAGCCAGAGCATATGTGCTGCATTTGAATAAAGGCATGGATGGCATGCTTAATAAATTAGCAGATGACAGGAAGCTGGGAATAACAGCTAATACAGTAGATGATAGAAAGGAATCCAATAAGATTCTAACAAGTTAGAGAATTGGGCTGAAATTTATAAGATAAAATTCCATAGGGATCAATGTAAAGTCTTAAGCTTAGGTGTACAAAAAATAATCAACTTCACAAGTAAGAGAAGGGGGAGAGACTGTTGGGCAGAAGCTTATCTGAAACAGATCAGGGGGTTCAAGTGAATTGCAAGCTTGATAGGAGTCAGCAGTGATACAGCAGCCAAAAAAGTTAATGAGATTTCGGTCAAAATTAAGTGGGCCAGGAATTCCAAGAACAAGGAGGTGATAGTCTTTCTGAACTCTGTCCTTGTCAGACTTTATCTGGATTTTTGTGCTCAGTTGGGCACCTCAGTTTTAAAATGGGCATTGATAAGTTGGAGAGGGTCCAGAAGAGGGCACCCAAGATGGTGAAGAGCCTTGAGCTCCTGCTGTTTGAGGAATGACTGAAGGAACTGGGAATGCTGAACCTGCAAGAAGAGAAGACTCATCAGACTTGTTTTCTTTGACTCCACAAGGTAGGAGCAATGGCTGGAGATTTCAAAGAGGCAGATTAGATTGATATCAAGACAAACTTCATAGTAACAACAAGAATAAGAACAGCTACCATTTATATAGTACTTCAGGGTAGTGGTGTGCTTTACCTACATTATCTGATTTGATCCTTACAACAATAGAGGTAGGTACTCTTATCCCCATTTTATAGATGAGGAAATTGAGGCTGAGAGAGGTTAAGTGACTTGTCCAGGATCATACAACTTAGAAGTTTCTGGGGCAGTCTTCCTTACTCCATCCTGACAATTAGAACTATGCAAAAGTATAATGGGCTTTTTCAAATGGTGATAGGTTCCTCCTTAGAGGTCTTTGAGCAATCCTTGGATAATCTGGTCCCTTCTTACCTTTCCAGTCTTCTTACACCTTACTTTCCTTTACATACTCTGCACTCCAGTGATACTGGTGTCTTTGCTATTCCTCAGATAAGACACTCCCAACTCCAGGCATTTTCATTGGCTGTTCCCCAATGCTTGGAATTCTCTCCCTCCTCATCTCTGGCTCCTGACTTTCCTCAGGATCCAGCTAAAATCTAAGCTTCTATAAGAAACATTTTCCACTCCCCTTAATCTTAGTGTAATCCCTCCATGATTATCTCCTATTTATCCTGTATATATTTTGGTTTAACACATTTGTTTGCTGGTCTCCACCATCAGACTGTGAACTCCTTGAAAGGAGGAACTGGTCTTTGCCCTTCTTTGTATTCCCAGCACGTAGAATAGCTCCTGGCACATAACTGGTGCTTAATAAATGATTGTTGAATGATTGGCCACTTGTTCAGTATGTTACAGGATACCTCTTGGGTATGGGTTAGATTACATGGTCCCCGAGATTCCTCCAATTCTCAAAATTTTATGCTTTTTACTCTGTGCACACTATAGAGCAAATGCACATCTAAACTCACATTGAAGTTACATACCAAGTCCACAGTATGTGCCCTCCATTGATGGGCATCATCTGGGTCCATATGTAAAGTATTTTCCTACTACCCTTGGAAATTCATAAATCATCCTGGTCACTGGCTAGGCAGACCTTGCCCTTCAGCAATGATTCAGTTTACCTATCTTAATGATTCCCTGATACCTCTCTATGAGCATCACTACCTTTTCTAAATGCTCATTAACTATCTCATTCATGATATATTCTAGAATTGTCCCAGAGATCAAAAGACAAGTTCACTGATCTATAGTTTGCATACTCTATTCTCTTCCCACCTTTTTAATTGGGACAACATTTGCCCATCTCTGGGGCACCTTTCCCATTCACTATAATCTTTCAAATATCAGTAATTAGTAGTCACATCTGTATGTTGAGTTATTTAAGTTGTGTCTGATTCTCCACAACCACATTTGTGGATATTTTTGGGGCAAAGATACTGAAGTGGTTTGCCATTTCCTTCTCTAGTTCATTTGACAGATGAGGAAACTGAGGTAAATAGGGTTAAGTGACTTGCCCACGGTCACACAGCTAGTAAGTGTCTGAGGACAGATTTGAAGTGAGGTCTTCTTGACTTCAGATCCAACACCCTATCCACTGTGCTACCTATGTACCCAGTTACATCTACCAGTACCTTTAGTTATGTGAGGATGTAGGTTAATAGTTGACCTTTTTTTTTCTCATTTGGAGAAAATATTTTTTTCTTGTAACAAGTAAGACATTTGATATAAGGCCAGGCAAATGATTAAAGGAACATGGCATACCATTATTTTTTCATTTATTATTGTCTGGCACCTTGAAAAAAGAGAAATTAAATAGCAGGGATTTCTCATTATGCCTCCTTCCAACTTTCTTATTTCTGTTATTCTTCTAGTCACACAGGTTCACAGTCTAGGATTCATCCTTGACACTTCCCACTCTCACCTCTCATTTTAATCTGTTGCCAAAATCTTGTCAATTTCACCTCCTCAACATCCTCTGTATTCATTTCCTTCTCTCTACTTTCATCATGAGCACTCTAGTTCAGTGCTTCATCACTTCTTTTCTGGACAATTGGGTAGCCTCCCAATTGACCTCCCTTCCTCCAGTCTCTCACCACACCAATTCATCCTCTCTACATAGTTCTCAAATTGTTACTCCTAAAGTTCAGGTCTAACCACATCACTATCTTGCTCAAGAAGCTTCAGGAACTCCCCAGTGCCACTATGATAAAATATAAACTCAGTTTGACATTGAAGTCCTTCACAATCTGGCTCTGAGCTGCCTTTCCAGGCTGCACTCATATGACTCTCCTGTATACACCTCCTCAATTTCCCACCCATCCCCACCCCGGCACACAATCTTCCATCTTCTGTCTCCATACCTTTGCTCAGCTTTCCTCCACAACTGAAATACTCTCTTTCCTCATCTCCCAGACTCCTTAGCTCCCTTTAAGGCTCAGCTCCAAAGCTATCTCCTTCAAGAGGCCTTCTGATCCTTTCAGTTGTTAGTACCTCTCCCCACAAAATTACTGTGGATTAATTTTGAGCAGTCAGTATGATCTAGTGAATAGAGAGCTAGTCTCAAAGTCAGGAAGTTCTGGGTTCAAGGCTTGCTTCTGATACCTACTATGTGATCCTGGGCAAATCACTTAACCTCAAATTGTACTAGGTTACTCTAAGATCATAAGTGTGCACTGGTAGAGGTAGTCCCACACTGGGAGCTCAGTATAATAATAAAATTTTAAAAATCGAATAAAAATCATTTTGTATGCATATTACATTTTAACTCTCTGTGAAAATGTTATATCTCTGCAGCATAATGTAAGGTCTTTGAGGGCAAGGACAGCCTAGCACAGTATGTGGCACATAGTAGGAACTTAAATGATTGTTGATTGTTTGATTGTTTGGTTGGTTGGTTGGCTGGTTGGTTGGTTGATTGATGTGTTTCATTTGGGTCTGCTGACTTGACTTCATCAAGTACAGCTAGCTGTACCTTCACCATGTCTTTACTTATCTTGGGTATCTAGTCTAAGTTAACCATTTCTGTTCTGTCCTTTACAGTACAAAGATTGTTCTCCTTGGCCAAGAAAACTGAAGCAAAGTAAGAAATGAGCAGCTATTATTTCTCTCTGTTCTCAATTAGCAGTTACTCCATTTCACACAAGCACTAGCCCTATCTGTTTTTGACCCCCTTCTTTTCCCCAACATAGCTTTAAAAAAACAATAACCTTTTGTTGTCGTTAGGTTTTCTCACAAGAAAGATAAAATACAAGAAACATGTAAAATAATCTTGGTTTTGTTTTTATTAGACCTGTGATTTCATCATTGTAGTGAACTTCCAGTGTGGGACTATCTTTGCCAGTGTGCACAAATCTTATTCTGAGTCTTAGCATTCCTGACACTATTTTTCTAAGACTATCTCATGCTCTTATATCCGTTCTCTGTTATCTACTCTTACTTTCTTTCATCTTCTATGTGTGAGTGTATGTGTATGAAGAGAGACCTAGAAAAGACCCAACGAGACAGAATGAGACAGGAAGAGACAGTAAGCTAGACTTAAGAGGCAGGAAGACTTGGATTTAAATTGGGGAGGGGGGGGTTGCTGCTAAATGTTTGACAGCCAGCTCTCTGGGAGGAAAAAAAAAATCTGTCAGTCAAGAAGAATTTATTAAGGACCTACCATGTTTAAGGCACCGCAGTAAACTCGAGGTATTCAAAGAAAGTAAAAGAAAACAATCCCTGATTTCAAGGAGCTCGCAGGTTAACAGGCTAATAATACAAACAACTACGGACAAACAAGGTGTAGACAGGATAAATTGGAGATTTAGAGGGAAGACACTAGTATTAAGGAGGATCAAGAAAAGCTTCTTGTTAGCTGCAGCCTGGAGGGAGCCAGGGAAACCAGGAGATGGAGATGAGAAGAGAATGAATTCCAGGTATGGGGGACAAAATGTCTGGAGTCAGGAGATGGAGTATCATATTCAAGGAATAGCAAGAAGACCAGTGTCACTGGAACGCTGAGTATGTGCATGGGAATGAAGTGGAGGGCTTTGAACATGCAAAAGAGGCTTTTATAGTTGATCCAGGGGACTAAATTCTTCCAGTTTCTTCAGTCATTCCATATATGGTATGGCCTCAAAGCCTTTGGAGCTCTGGTTGCCCAATGAGATAAAATGAAAAATGTAGCTTTGGGCTAGATGGTGAATAGAGCCTTAAAGGAATTTGAACTTGTTCTTGAAGCAATGGGTAACCAATAAAAGTTTCTGAACAAGGTAAACAATATAATCAGAGTAGTGAAAAAGAAGGCTTAGTCAGATGGGATGTCCAAGAAGAGTTGTTGCTGTAAGGAGTGTATGATGAGTTGAGTTAAAGAAAGTGTGCACTAGAGTTGTGGTTGTGGAAATGAGTGGAAATAAGGTGATGATTGCAAGGGGCACTGCTGAGGAAAAGTTCAAAGGATTCAGTGTCTGGAACCTATGACCCTCCATATACTGATGAATAGATAAGAACTCTGTAATGAGAACACTCCTCCCTGCCCATGGCAGTCCCTGCTGATTTTATTTAGTTCCAAGGCTCCACCTCTGAATAGTGATTTTTATAGTATGGTCCTGAAGGATCACACTACTATGTAGTCTATGCTTCCCTCTGTGATGAAGAGTCCCACCAAAACTCTGCCGCTCTCAGCTTTTTCTGCTCACTCCTCACTCTGCTCCATAGCCCTGAAGCATGGGGTTTTATGATTCTTTGATCATAGGGAAAAAGAGGAGACATTGCTCAGAGGAGATACTTGTGTCCCACAGTTAAAGTCAGATGCATTAGTCTCCTAGGGACCTAAGTACCTCTTGAAGAAAAAGACTTGCCTCATTCTCTGGGTCTCTCCTGATTATTTTGCTTGAAACTCTCTCTCTCTCTCTCCCTCCTCACTTTCTCTTTCTTCTCCATCCATGTGCATGCTTGTGTGCGTGCACACACACACACAGGCACACACTTTTCCTGGGCAGTAATGAGACACTGATGGCAGTGGTGTCTAGTGGTGGCTAAACAGAGAACTCCACCTGAGAAACAACAGTGATGGCAAGGTGGAAGTGTAATTCATGGAACCTAGCATCATAGGAGCTGGAGTTGATGGAGGGGAAATTGGTGAAGTTATTCCTTCCCAAGGAATGCACTACTGTGTAATCTATACCTTCCACTGTAATTAAAGGTCCCACCAAAATCCTGCCCCTTTCAGCTCCTTCTGCTATCTCCTCACTCACCCCCAAAACACTAAAGTATGGGGTTGAAGATGGGAAATAGAGAAGGGAGGAGTTAAAATAATACTGCACAGTACACAGGGCAAGTGGTCAGCTGCCAAGACCTCTCAAAGGTGTAGTAGTTCCCTTAACAACAGTGAAGTTATGGAGGAGATGGAGCCAAGATGGCAGAGTAAAGGCAGGGACTCACCTGATCTTTTCTCCAAACCCCTCCAAGTACCTTTAAATAATGACTCTAAACATATTCTAGAATGGCAGAACCCATAACAAGATGGAGTAAAACAATTTTCCAGAAAGTTGACAGGAAAGGTCTGTTGCACCAGGGTGAAAGAGAAGTGCAGTGCAGCTCAGGCCTCAGCAGTGCAGACCAGGCCCCAGCAAACCAGAAGCAGATCTCAGGGCAACTGAATCAGTGGCAGCAGTGGTAGTTTCCAGACCTCTTAGCCCATGTACGGTAAGGGGGTTGAACAACTGATCAGATTTACTGTGATCCCTTTACTGGCACCAGAGACAGAACTGTGTCACACGGCCTATACTTGGATGTGGCTTGCAATCCTGGGTCTTAGTCCTAGTGTGAGAAGAAGCACTACCATAGCAGAGCTTGTGACCACAGGGGAACAGAAACCTTGGTTATAATTCCAGGTTTGAGAAGAGTGCTTGTGGTTGCTCACAAAACTGTGCACAGTACAGGGGAGCAGTAAACACACCTCTTCCTAGATCATACCATCTTGGAAGAAACAAAAACTTCCAGGTCCCCAGAATTGCCTCTGAAAACAGCTGCACAAAAAACAAAGTTTGGGACACTGCACCCTCCCACTTGGAAAGCAGAGCCCTACTTCAGTTTAGAGTTAGAAGTAAAAATATAGGCTGGGAAATGAGCAAACAACAGAAAAAAATTCTGACCGTAGAAAGTTATTGTGGTAACAAGAACGATCAAAACACACACTCAAAAGAAGACAACAAAATCAAAAGTCCTGCATCCAAAGCCTCAAAAAAAAAAAAAAAAAAAGGAATTGGTCTCAGGCCATGGAAGAGCTCAAAAAGGATTTTTTAAATCAAGTAAGAGAGTGGAGGAAAAATTGGGAAGAGAAATTGGAGTGGTGCAAGAAAATCATGAAAAAAAATGAAGAGCTTGGTAAAAGAGGCACCAAAAATACTGAAGAAAATGACACCTTAAAAAACAAAATAGGCCAAATGGTAAAAGAGACACAAAAATCCAATGAAGAGAAGAATGCCTTGAAAAGCAGAATTGGACAAATGGAAAAAGATAAACAAAAATTCACTGAAGAAGAGAACTCCTTAAAAAGTAGAATTGGCCAAATGGAAAAGGAGATGCAAAAGGTCACTGAAGAAAATAATTCCTTAAAAGTTAGAATTGGGCAAGTGGAAGCTGACTTTATGAAACATTAAGAAATATCAAACAAATCCAAAAAATCAAACAAAATCAAAAGAGTGAAAAAAATAGAAGAAAGTGTGAAATATCTCATTGGAAAAAACAACTGACCTGGAAACAGATTTTACATTGGAAGGGGAAATGGGGGAAGTGAAGAAAGGAGTACATAAATCTTATTCTTATCAGAATTGGCTCAAAGAGGGAATAATATACACACTCAGTTGGGTGTAGAAATCTATCTTACCTTACTGGAAAGTAGGAAGGGAAGGTGATAAGAGGTGGAGTGGAGCTGATAGGAAAGAAAGCAGTTTGGGAGAGGTACAAGTCAGAAGGAAAATATTTTTTAGAATGGACAAGATAAAAGGAGAGAGTACAATAAACAGGAGAGAAATAGGATGGAGAGAAATATATAGTTAGCAATCATTACTGTGAAAAAAATTGTGCAGTGATTTTCTCTGATAAAGACCTCCTTTCTTAAATATATAGAAAACTGAGTGAAATTTATAGAAATGAGTCATTCCTCATTTGATAAATGGTCAAAGAATATGAACATGCAGTTTTTAGATAAAGTAATCAAAGTTATCTATAGTCATATGAAAAAAATGCTCTAAATCATTATTGATGAGAGAAATGCAAATTAAAACAACTCTGAGGTACCACCCCACACCTATCAGATTGCCTAACATGACAGAAAAGGAAAATGACAAATGTTGGGAGGGGTGGGGGCAAATTAAAACGCTAATGTACTATTGGTTGTATATTGATACAACCAATCTGGAGAGCAATTTGGAACTATGCCCAAAGGGCTATAAAACCATGCATACTTTTTTTAAAATTTTAAATATTTTATTTATTTTTAGTTTTCAACATTCACTTCCACAAGATTTTGAATTCCGAATTTTCTCCCCATCTCATCCCTCCCCCAACCCCAAGACAGCATGCATTCTGAATACCCTTTCCTCTAATCTGCCTTCCTATCTATCTCTCATCCCTTCTCTTATCCCCTTCCTCTTCTATTTTCCTGTAAGGCAGGATAGATTTCTATACCCCATTACCTGTATATCTTATTTCCCAGTTGCATGTGAAAACAATTTTTTAACATTTGTTTTTAAAACTTTGGGTTCCAAATTTTCTCCCTTCCTCCCTCCCTACCCACCCTCATTGAGAAGGCAAGCAACTTGATACAGGTTATACATGTGTAGTCATGCAAAACACTTCCATAATAGCCATGTTGTGAAAAACTATACTTCCCTTCATCCTATCTCCACAAGCACAAGCTCCACCAAGTCAGTACTCCTCCTCACCCCAGGATCACCATCCAGAACTGTGACCTAGATCCAAGTACAGGCAAAGCAAGAGAATCCTGCCTCAGCACCAGCAAAGAGATCTCTGCAATGTGCCTCTGATCAGCCACTCAATTTCCCTTCAGTCTGTGGACTAGAAGCTCCAGAAGCA